TAGGAAGACTGATCGTAGGACCCTGGCAGATAACCAGGCTCTGGGATGCTCAAGTCCAGTGTATAAAATGGTGTAGTATTTGCATATAATCTATACATATCCTCTCATATACTTTAAATTGTTTCTAGATTACTTATACCAAATATTATAATTATTTATATTAATAATACCTTAATGTAACATAAATAGTTGTAAAGAAAATACAATGTAAAAAAATAAATTTGTATGTTAATGCATATATGTGGAATCTAGAAAAATAGTATAAATGATCTTGTCTTCAAAGAGGAAATGGATACACACAGAGAACAAACATGGATACTGTGGGGGAAGGGCAGGTGAACTGGTAGATTGGGATTAACATACATACACTACTATGTATAAAATAGATAACTAATGAGAATTTACTGTGTAGCACAGGAAACCCTACTTGGTGCTCTGTGGTGACCTAAATGGGAAGGAAATCCAGAAAAGGGGCTCTTTGTACATGTTACAGATGATTGACTTTGCTACACAGCAGTGTAAAGCAACTATATTTCAAACAAAGGAAAATCAGTATGTGTAAGAAGCACCAAATACAGTGCTTAGTGGGGTATTGTACATTACAGTTACTTCATTTAAAGACAGTGGCTGACTGGCTGCTTGCATGAACAAAGCAGTACCTGCTCTGTGCCAATTCATATATTCTACTGTTGAAAATGTTCTGAAAATAAAACATAGCTGAGTTTAAAAAGTAAATATAGTGTAAATGTTATATAAATGGTGTGCAGCAAATTCAAGTTTGGGGTTTTGGAACTTTACATAGTAAATTTCCTCTGATAGTATTTTTTGATCCATGATTGTTTAGATCTACAGATGCAGAATCTGCAGATAGGGAGGGCCAACTGTATGATGGCCAACTTTTTGTAGACATGGACATTTTGTTGTTGCCTGCCGAAGGAGGCCAGAGGGAAATAGTTGATGAATGCAATGAAGACACATAGGAAGCAAAGAATATGATGGGGGTGGGGAAGAAGAACAGGAAAGTAGTGTGAAAGGAACTTAAAAGGGGCAAAATAGGAGCTTAAGTATGTTAAAAGCAGTTTAGATCAGGTGATGTTGCTCTAAGTAGGCAGAGAAATTTATAGTATCTAAGAGGTACTGAGAAACTCTTGATAAGAAATTGTGAAAGACTGTGAGATAGGAAGTCTTTGGATTCAAGAAGATGGCTATCATTTTAAAAATTTGTCAACTCATTGCTGCCATCTAGTGACACTTTGTCTTTAAACTGCTTCAGAGAAAGGAAATGGCATATTAGGCATATGGGAGTTGTACACCATAACTCAAATTTCAAGATGAACAGTTGAAAACAAATAAAATTGACAGGTTAGCTTGTATTCTAACTCCATTCCAAATCTATGTGGTATAGATTTCATGATTTTTGGTTTAGGATATAACTGATGTGGTAGAATTGGTAATAGAAACACATTTCTGTATCGATGAATCTTGGGCAGTTCTTGTCCTTCATACAGCCACTCATTGCTTTTATTGCTTCAACATAAAATCAAATGGACACATACGTCCTTTGGTGTAATAAGTAACTCAACATTGTTGGTTTTGACTTTTACTCACCAATCTTAGTGATTTTTTGATGATAAAAAATTGTGAAAATAACCTGGGATGAAAAGATAGCAAGCACACACATGAGTATGCTTCCATTAAATAGAGGTTTGAATTCTACCACCCTGTAACCTCTAGGGAAATAATCTTTTTCCGTTTGTACTGTGATGGAATTCTGCTTTTCTGGAAACCATTTGATATCTGCTACTGAGTTAAACAGTTCACATAGTAACCAGGGAGTCAGTCATTTCAGAAATATTTCCCTCTGTGGTTTTAATCTTTGAAACTAATTTTAGGAAAGAAATTGATTATGTGTGTTTTTTATTCTGTGTTCTTTTATTTACTTACTATTTTTAAAAAGCTAGGAGAAATGGACTTGTCCTATAAGGGTGACTCCAAAGTGTAAACTTCTGTGGCCCGTGAGGCACCCTCAAATACACTCATTTAGATCTATTTCATTTCTATTTGTCTTTAAAACCAAAAAAACCCATCTTAATGAATTATTATAAAGCAAAAACCCTGTAGTGTCTACTTGGGTTGAGAAAACAGAACTTTGCCAGGAAGGTTTATAGTTTGGAATGATTCTGTGGCAGTCCAGAAGTAAATGGAGTATATTTAAGGAAAGAAAATGTGATTAAGTGATTTTATACCCAGCGAAACTGACAGATACAAAGGACACAGGCAAACTAAGTTGCAGGAACTGATAAAACTGTTTTCAAGCTCTTTGTAAGTAATAATACTAAGGATAAGCTTGAGTTACTATAATACCTAGAGAGATCTGGTAGAATTTTAGCATTAATAACATTACAAAAATAGTACTGCTTGAATATAACCTTGCAGAAGTGTTACACGTGAGTCTGATCAAGCCATTGGTCACAGCTTCCAATTTCTGAAAATACAAAGGACAGAAGAATATGTGGAATTATGCTGAGGTTATGAAGTTTTGAAAAACTGCAGGACAAATAAATGCTCAAGATTAACATCAGATAAATGTTAAGTTAAAGGGGAACTTATCTAAAAAGCACTAAAAGACATCAAATTTGTATCAGTGGGTAAGACTATACTATCCAGGGGTACACTTTAGGTAGTAGAATTATTTTAAAAGGAAGAAAGTGATTTTACTGTGAAGTTAGTTTTAGGAAGAGGAAAGAGATTGAGAACGGAATGCACATGGGGCTTCTGAGTGTTGAGATTCTGTAGAGACTTGAGCTGCTTTAGCACCTACGGACAGGTTTACTGCAGTACCTTGTACTCTCCCACTATTGCCTCAGGCAAGACCCTTCCTGTTGAAACTGCTTTTCCTAACATTTGTTCTTTTCCTTTCCAGTAAATACTGCCTGGATATTTTGATGTTCTTCAGCTTTCTGGCTCTTTTAGGCTCCTAGTTGCTTCTTTTGCTTCTCCCACAGTGATATATAACATGCATGCTAGCTTCTGACTTGCCCTTACCAGTGTGCATTATGGAGTTTTGTTTGGGATGCATTGACATAAAGTTGTATTCTGTATGTTGTCCATAGGTTTTTGCGTTACCCACAGTTAATTTCTTAAGCTCAAGGAGAGGGATTTACCTGGTGGTCCTGCAGTTGAGAATCTGCCTTCCAGTGCAGGGGCCCGAGTTTGTTCCCTGGTCTGGGCACTGGACCCCACATGCTGCAACTAAGATTTTACAAACCACAACTAGAGATCCTATATGCTGGGGCAGAGATAGAAGATCCTGCCTACCACAAATAAATAAATACTAAGAAGAAACTCAGGGAACTTTTACCTGCATTTACCATTTATATATATATATAGTTCGTGAAAAAAACATTTGCTGAAAACTGGCTTATGCCTCCACTTAAAATAATAGCAAACACACAGAAAACTTATTATTTGAAACCAGTTAGGCCTTGTTAGTAGGTTTCTGTTTTGATTCCTCTTGGAGTTCTAAGCCTTTTTGGTGCTCCTGCTTAAGTTGAAAAGCTGTTAGTGGTTCTGAGTAGCCACTATTAGGTTAATTTTTACTGCTTAGTGTAAAAAAAAAAATTGTAAAGATACAATTTAGAAACTCAAAGGCAGGCTGTTTCCTGAATTTCAGAAGGATCAGAGCTTTAAAGCTTTAGACTCTGTGTATAAAAAGAGCAAGGTATTTGAAAGGTCAAAATGGTAGTGGTCATGTGTAAATGTTACACCATCTGGTTTTTTAAAATGTATATAAGACCTTTACATAATCCACAAGAACTAGTTTGTCATTATCTTCTTTGAGGATTGGAAAGTGAAGAAATACTAGACACTGCTATTCAGTACCTTTCAAGGGGTTAAAGGGGAAATAATCTTAAGAATGTTACTCTATATCTAGGGTGGATCCATCTTAAGCCCAGTTTAACTTTGGTGGTTGGAATGGGAAGGAGCAGTAGACAAAAAGCTGATAGAAAAGCTAAAGAATATCAAAACATCTTGTGCTTTAAAAGACCTAAAATGATTTCATGAATCTCCACATAGTTACAGATTATGCCTCTGTAACATATATAAAGATAATTTTTGTTTTGAAATGGTCTGAGCAAAGTTGTGTTTCCTTAATGCTTCTGGTTCTTTCTTGATTAAGGCAGAGTTCTACCTTCTAGTTTTATCATCATCACCATCCACATTATTAAATGTCCTAGCTATATTTTGTATTGTTTTCACATAAAGAATCATTAACATTCTATAAAAAAATGGTATTGATATTTAAGGTATCTACTGGATGCTGTAAATCAATCAAAGTATCTGGAAATAGATTATTTCCAGAGTGAATGAGTTGGTTCTATTTATTGCCTTCATATAATAAAGTTAATTAAACTTGAAGGGCAGAGTGTCACTTGTCCACATTTATCTAGCTAAAGAATAGTTTGTGGGCAGAAACTGGAGTTCTTTATATCTATGTGGCAATGAGTGAGACTCGTAAAAGCAACATGAAAAAAGGTGGAGTTATTGATAGATGGCAAGGGATGGTTCAATAAGCATGACTGGGACAGTGAAAAACAGAAATTTATGTTAGAGAGATTGGTGGGGTTTTGATTTGCTTTAGGACTTTCAAACAGTGAAGTCACTTGGGATTAATAATTTCCAAGAGGATTGTGTCGCCAGTATTATGTGAAGAGGATCCCCCCCCCCCCCCGAAGTGATGGTCTAGCAGGAGTATATTACAGAAAAGGAGGTTGAATATAAGGATATATATTCATGGGCTCAAGTCTGAATACCAATAAACTTGCTGCTGTGAGATCCATTTTGTTTAAGTTGACTGATAATTGTAGGTAGAATGGTTCAAGATAAGAGTAGAACAGGTTTTTATCAAGGATTATTTTGTTTTTAGCATCCTTTCACCTGAATGCATTTTTTCCCCTCTCAGTTTTTCAGCTTTGTGAGGCACCGTATCATCAAAGACAATGGCCAGCAATGTTACCAACAAGACGGATCCTCGCTCCATGAACTCTCGTGTATTCATTGGGAATCTCAATACCCTTGTGGTCAAGAAATCTGACGTGGAAGCAATCTTCTCAAAATACGGCAAAATCGTGGGTTGCTCTGTTCATAAGGGCTTTGCCTTCGTTCAGTATGTTAATGAGAGAAATGCCCGGGCTGCGGTGGCAGGAGAGGATGGCAGAATGATTGCTGGCCAGGTTTTAGGTAAGATCTGGATTGAATTAATTTTTCATTGGTTATGTAATTCAGATCTGGGAGTTCTTCTCTGCATGTTTTCTTTTTCTTTCCCTCCCTCTCCATAAAGCTGTTAGTCAGAGAGGTGTTCTGGATGTTATGTCTGACACTAGCCTAATAAAAAATTAAAATATTAGGTTTATAGGTCTAAAGAGAGTTTTACTTAGGCCATTTGGTGTAGTAGAGACTGGATAACCCTTAGCTGGCAGTCTTGAGTAAAGTAGGAGAGAGAGGGACAATATTTCATAAGGTACTTTTGCTGCCTAAAATGGATGTGTCATTTTGAACACAGTCGACTGGGTGAAGACAACAGAGCTTTGTCATGTGCTCTAGAGTCAGATGTATGTTAGGGCCTCACAGCTATGTTTTGGGCAGCCTACCTAGCTTTTCTTTGTTAAAATAACTGTACATGCACGCATGCGCTACCTCGGTTTATTAACTATTCTTACTGAAGGTAATACTGTGTGGTTGTCAAGAGAATTTAGATAACTTGGGAGGATTAATTGAGGTGATTCATAATAAAAGGTTGTCTTATATTAGTTCCCCAGTAGGGTTCGCCTCTGATGTTTAGATTTTTGAGAAATGAGACCTGAGCTCTATTCAGAAAATTTATATTCTAAACTTTAGATGTCATTACATACGTTTCAGTCATATGTTTGCAAATTGTTGTTTTATACTCGAGATATCTTTGGCCAGTGGATCAGTCACTTTTAAGTTGGTTCCTGTGTCCTTGAGACCTTACTCTTATGATACTACATTTCTTCCTTGCTTGCTGCACCACAGGATATTCTGGGTCATCTGGGTATCTTATAAGAGTGTTGGCTCCTTTTAATGGGAGCTATTTAGAAACCCACTCCCTGTATACCAGGAGTGTTTACTGAGTTTTAATTGCATCTTGTTAGTTTCAGTGGGCAGAATAGGGGACACTTAGTTTTTTGAGAAAACAAAACGTCAGATTTTTATGTGCACATTGTGCCACAGCCTCAAACAACCATATCTCTGTTTTTACCAAAATTACTCTATTTTGGATATTGACTTAATACAGTTTTCCCTTGATGGAATAACGTTTGAACTGCATGGATTCACTTCTACGTGGATTTTTTTTTTTTAATATGTATTACAGTACTACAAGAGCATTGGTAGAATCCCAGTGCAAAACCACAGGTAATGGAGGGCCAACTGTTAATTTATATGCAGATTTTCCACTCTGCAGAGGGTCAGGGCCCCAACCCCCACGTTGTTCAAGTGTCAACTGTTCTATAGTTTAGAATATCATGAAATAATTCTTATATGAGGTTGTAAAATCAGTTGGATACATAGTGTAGTTAATCCTGTTACTACATTTTTTTAAGCTTCTTTTAAAAAGTCTACCTTTAGTTTTGTAAAATCTTATGATTCCCAAAGTCAAAACTGTAAAAGCAGGGTTGTTATAAACATTAATTATAAAAATTAGAAATGAGTTTAGTGAACTAAGAACTCTGAAGATTATTCATAAATGTAATGGTGTTTAGCAGATAAGGCAGTGTACTTAAAAGTCTTTTTCCACTGGTCACTTGATGAACTGAGTTTTGGAGAGCTGGCTAGCTTTTATTTAATTGTTTTTTGAGAAATTGTCTCATCTGTTAGAATATTTGGGAGAACATGAATTCTTTGATAGGTAGTGGGTGGCATGGTGAGCAACTAGGCACTCTGACATAGGTGTTTTAAAAATTATGTTGTATATGGAAACTAGAATTGTTTTCCTTTAATTCTTTCTCTTTCTCTTGGAGTATGTGCATGCATATGAAGATTGTTTACTTATAAGCAGTTCACTGCACAGTGTTTATTTTTTATGCAACTTTTCAGTTTATCCTATTTGTAAGGAGAATAAAAGTCCCCAGTTTCTCATTGAGGTGTTAAGTCGAGGGTAAAAGGTACTAAAGACAAACTTCCTATGTTTTGCATTTCTGTTTTGTGGGTACAGAACAGAGGACAGAGAAATGGAGGATTAAGTCCTAATCTTGTAAAAAAAAAAAAATCGAACCTATTTTATATAACAGGGAAAGATGTTTATTATATGGCCATGTACACGTTAGAAAGGTGCAGTTTGAGACACCTCCATCCCAACAGAGTTGTCATTGAAGTCTTTTCCCCCCTCAGATATTAATCTGGCTGCAGAGCCAAAAGTGAACCGAGGAAAAGCTGGTGTGAAACGATCTGCAGCGGAGATGTACGGGTCAGTACCAGAACACCCTTCTCCGTCCCCTCTACTCAGGTCCGGAACTTTATTATTTATAACTGCATTGTGTCCATCAGTGGGCATCTTCTCTATCTGTTTTCTGGATGTGGGGAGGGTTAACTGTACTATGTTTTATGTATGTGAAAGGACTGCTTTATTAATTTTGTGTTAATATACTTCATTTTACCCCATTTCCCAGAGAGTTGTTGGAATTCCTGAGATTTTTTACTATTAAAGAGTAGTTTGTTATTTAAAGTGTTAGTCGCTCAGTCGTGTCTGACTCTCTTGAGACCCCATGGACTGTAGCCTGTCAGGCTCCTTTGTCCGTGGGATTTCTCAGACAAGAATACTGGAGTGTGTTGCCGTTGCCTTCTCCAGGGAATCTTCCTGACCCAGGGATCAAACCCGGGTCTCCTGCATTGCCGGCAGATTGCTTACCATCTGAGCCACCAGGGAAGCCCTACTAGTATAAATTAAATTCCTTCAAAAGGAGTTACTTAGCTTCTAAGAAGCTGGGGAGGGAGTAAGAAAGGGAAAGAGGATGACATAAGAATGTTTAATTTACTATTGTGTTTTTCCATATTCTTATTTTAGCTCTTACGTGTTGGCATTTTAGCAATCTTACGGCTAAATTTGCAGTTTGGCCACTGTATGTACAGTGGCCTAAAGTGGTTGGAATTTAGTGATCTGTTGCTTAATGATTGGGCGTTAGTCCATAATAATCTGTTGATCTAATTGTTGGGTTGGTTTAGGGTGGTTTTTTTTTTTTTTTTCCCATCTGCTGTTGTCAACAGCTCCAAAGTAATCCTCTTTGGTATTTGTTTTTCAGCTCTTCTTTTGACTTGGACTATGACTTTCAACGGGATTATTACGACAGGTATGTTTAAGATGTTTGCTCTTCCAATTAGAGGCTGGCTAGTGAGAGCCATTTATTTTTCTATTTTGTGGTAATAAATGTTCTATTTTGTAGTAATGAATAACAAACATATTTCCAAATAAAGCCCCCTCTTTCTGTCAGAACATAATGAAAAAAAGTATGTGTGTTGCTCAGTTGTGTTTGACTCTTTGCAACCCCATGGACTGTAGCCATCCAGGCTCCTCTGTCCATGGAGTTCTCAAGTTAAGAATACTGACGAATGGAATGGGTTGCCATTCCCTTCTCCAGGGGAGCTTCCTGATCCAGGGATCTAACCCACGTCTTTGGCATTGCAGGCTGATTCTTTACCATCTGAGCCACCAGAAAGCCCACTGAAAAAATTCCTTTCTGCTTAGACTGGATAAGGGTGATTTTTTTTGTTGTTGATTTTATAGAATCAGTTTATATATGTTGTCAGGGCATATGGAGACATGTCCAATATTTTCTGGACTAACACTTTTTCTTGACAAGTCAGTTTTTTAATTTTGTGCCACATAAATGTAAGGACTGACTTGCCTAATGATAAATGGAATTTAATTAGCAGTCTCATGTTCTCTATTATTTTTTTTGCATATTAGCTGCTTAGATTTGCATTGTGGGAGATTACAGCAAAATTATAAAAAAATGATTCCTTAAAATTTCAGTAGTCTCCTTTGAGCAAACCAACCAGTGCAAAATAGGATACAATAAGCATATGTAATGAATTTACAATGCAAATTGATTTAGGCATCAATGTTGAAGTGTTAAGATTTGTAGATTGGAGATGATGATACAGTTCTAAAAGGCAGAGGGGTTAGAATAATGGTTTCTTATGCTTCCAGAATAGCATTTGTATTTGAAAAATCATGAGAAAGTTGATATAGTTGCATCATCTTATTCTAAGTAAGTTTGGGAAAAGTTGTTTTAAGTGATGAATTTTGAAATTGAGTAAAACAGATAAAAGACGGCAAGGAATAATGAAAGCACTGAGATGTTTACAGAAATATCTTCATATATCTTACCACTGCTATTTGGTCTTAAAAATTGGTGACAACACCACTGTTGGCCTCACTCTAGTTTTTCAAGAGCAAGAGAATACCTTTAGTTCTCTGTATTGCTTGATATTATAGAGTGACAGTGAAAAGTAATGTTTTTGACCTTCCATTCTAAACTTGGCCAGTAAAAAAGATTTCTGATGACTGAGTAACCAAACAGTGGCTTAATAAAGAGCTCATTCAATTATATACTGAGGTCTAGTAGGGAAAGCAGATGTTTAGTTAAGAATGGAAAAACTTCTTAGGAAAATGGTAGTATCAGTTTTCTCAGAAGTCATCCTGAAGATACTTATTCACGAGGTTAAGATAATTACTATCCCTAATAACATCATAAATTAACTTTTAGATTCTTTACTAAAAGAAGATGGGAAATTGACTCTGAGATGTGCTGAAAGGTCTGTGTCCTGCTATGTAAATGGGGGTTAAATCAGTCTGCTTAGTCACACCCTTAAGAATATGAAGTTCACATGAATATTTTAAGACATACATTTGGCATTTCTACTGCCTATTGTTACATTAGGGTGGCTGCTGATAGAGAAATCCAAAGGCTTAGTCACTTAGCAGAAAGGATTATGACCAGTCATATATCACTTCAGTTTTCTTATCCCTAAAACGATCATGCCTACTAATAGAGTTGTTATGAAGACTAAGGAAACAAAGGTTGGACAAAGGTTGCATTATATGTAACCCTCAAATACTATTATGCTTTCAGTTAATCAAGAATTCATCTTGGGTTTCCCTGGTAGTTTGGTGGTACCTGCCAATGCAGGAAACACGGGTTCAGTGCCTGGTCTGGGAAGATCCCACATGCCACACTGTTAACACTGACATACATTATTGCTTCTGCATATATTGTTGGCTCCCTTCATATCAAAATGAAGGGAATCATGGACACCCCACCATTCCTCTCCACAAAATCTAACTTAATCTCTAGCATGCAGTTCCCTATGTGACGGAAGTCTTCTAAACTAATGCATAGTGAAATGAAGACTGGTGTTTATCTTGACATGGTTTTAGTAGTTACTTCAAGTTTTTTGTTTACTAATATAGAACATTGTAATTTATATAAGAAAGTAGTATATCAGTGTAAGATATAGACTGCTTTTATAAGCATATTGACATTTTATAAACATAATGATGATGCCACTTAAGATAGGAAGATTCCTTAATCATCCAAGTTTTCCAGACTTGATTTTGCAGGTTGTATTTTGTGTTGTTTAGCATGTTAGCCTGTCATTTGTATTTCCTCTGAACTAGTGGGGTAGATTTGGAGGCTAGTTCAGATTCAGGTTGTTTTCTTCTTTTCTTTTTTTGACATGGGAGAGGTCAGAGAGGAGACCAGAGTATTTCATTAAAGATATTATGCAATTTAATCATCATTAGCCTGACTTTTGTCAGAAACTTTAGGAATATAAGCATTAGGTGTTTCTTAAGGAGATACATTTTAGATACCAGGGAGTAGGTGATTAATGATGTTTTGTTAGAGTGCTTTTTATTTTTGCTTGGGTTTTCATATGTTTTGATGCACAAGTTCCAAAGATTGTAATACTTTTCATACTGGAGGATAATCAAACATTAAAATTTGAGCCACTTATATATTAACATATGCTACCTCTGAGGAGGCAACAGAGGAGTGGATTTTATGGTCTTAATGCAAATTAATTTATAAGTTATGTAAATTAGGCCTGTCATTTTATTTGTTCGTAAGGCTATTTCTGATACAATATGTGTTGGAAGTTCTTAGGTGAATTTAACATAAATTACCAACGTGTGTGAAACTACCATTTTAGATACTTGTTAATGTTACTCAGGTAACACTGTCATCTCTTTCAGATGTGCTGTAAACTGTCATACATTGTTTATAATTACTCAAAAATTGGTTAACACATTTTTTTCTGGTAGGAAGACAAGCCCCAAAGTAGCTTTCTTATTTAGGGTGACTATTCATGGTAGGGGCTGGTGGGCATGCTCAGTCCTGTCCAACTTGTCTACCCCATAGACTAGCCTGTCAATCACCTCTCTCCATGGGATTTCCCACTCGAAGAATACTGGAGCGGGTTGCCATTTCTTCCTCCAGGGGATCTTCCCATCCCTCTCCTGCATTGTAGGCGGATTCTTTACCCCCTGAGCCATTGGGGAAGCCCTCATGGTGAAGGAGAATCTCCGCATCAGTTACTCTTGATGTTTAAAGTCTTACAGCCTGTAAGCTGACAGAGATCCATTTCCACTTGTATCCTGTTGAGTCTTGTTGCTTCTAGGGAAATTGTTGCTGGAGTAGTTCCTGTTGGAGAACTTCTTGTGTGAGGCAGTTCCTTTGAGTGATTTTTCTTTCAAATGCTTAAATGGATTTCTCTTAATTTCTCTTTGCATATAGATATTTAGTCACTCACTTTTGATATTAATGACCATTAGAAAGCAGATTGTGCTGTTGTGCCAGAAGTGCTATAATAAAAATAATCGGTACATTGTTGGAAATAGACATTAAAGCTTTAGTTTTTGTTGTAGCACAGGGAACTCTACTTAATATAAAAACATGGCCATTTTTAGGAAAAGCTTTCAGATGGACTTTTTGTAATCAGTTGTAGCCCTGCTTTTCTTTCCCTTATAATTACCCAGGAGAATATTCTGGAATTACAGAGTTGTGATGATGCAGAAGTTTGTGAGAATACTAAAAATCACTCACTTGTATGTACTCAAAGGGTTTATGTTGGGTTTGGTATGTGAACTGTGTCAATTTACATAAAAGAAGTAGTACTCGGTTATGACAGTGGAGTGGTTCTTTCGCAGTCATTCTTCTGTGAAGAACTTGGAGCATAAGAAAAATCACCTGCTCGCTTAGATTTGATAATAGGCTATAGTATGATAGCTGAGACTTGGAAAACACCTGTTAAGCAGGTTCAGAAGGACCCTGATTTTAATTCAGTGGTCTCTGAGGACTTTATAATAAATAACTTGTCAGAAGTTGCATATGTCACGTGGATACTAATGTCAACAGTGCATAAGGGACTGAACTGTGAAGTTGTTCCACTAGAGGTTTTTCAGAGTGCTGTCACTGTGGCACATACAAGTACATTAAGTACTGCTAGTATACCACGAAAGGAGGAGGGAAGTGAGTCTACAAGCAGATCAGATGTGGCACATTTAGGATAAGCACTATGTTATACAGTGAAGAAAGTGCTATGAAATTAATTGGCTGCTATGTGTTCTGCTTTATACAGGATTGTCCTATAGAAAGATGAATTGTGTGCCCTTGTGGGAGGTGTAAGCTCCCCTGTTAAAATTTAAAGAGCTCCAGGTTGTTTCACAGAGGGCAATATTTGTACCTGCCTTTGATATTAAGCAGGAGGTTTTTAGACAGACAGGGTGAGGATACAGGGTTATGAATATACCTAGCATATTTAGGGAAGCAGTCAGCTTTGATTGGAAAAAACACATTACGGTAGTTGTGTCCTATTAGCAGTGATACCTTATTAACAACCCCATGACTAGAAAAGAGAAACTGAAGGGGGCAAGACATTTACCGTTGTAAATGTTGGAATGTGGAGAAATTTCTGAGGTAGACTAGTCTTGATTTATTGGGTCACAGTTACTAGAGCAGGTACTTTCTGGGGATAAACTTAAGTTGAGATGAGATTTTTATTTTTATGACTAGAATTATGCCATTAAAGGTGTAATCTTTTGCTAAGTGACAGGTCTGTGAAAGGTTTGAGTTCTTAGAATTTGGGGAAATAAGCAATTCTGTTGATACTTACCCTACAGATCTTTTCCAATAAGATACCCTTACAGAAAGTAGAGAAAATGAAGTGGGAGAATCGCCATTGAAAATGCAACACAAATGAAAGATGGTAACAACCATCATAATTGTTAAAACTAATATCTGAGCCCTTACTTTGTTCTAGACAAACAGTATTTTAGGTTTTGAATTAG